ATAAAATAAAAGGAGACTCCATATCCAGACTCCAGAGTTTCTGATATTCGAACAACTGATTTTTTTTATTTGTTTATTTTTATCTGTATAAGTTTCATTTTCGACAAATAATTGCTCATCTCTCGAAAAATCTCTTTACGACAGGTTACAGCAAACAATGTTGACATTGCCAAGGTGTCACCAACGTACCATCTCTACTCACCTTCTGAAGTCGAGGCTGTCATCAACCGCCTGTGAGAGGAGAAAAGCCCATCAGTTTCTTTTTTTGTTTCAAATCCAGGTCTCCAATGATTATCCACATTTTGCTTTGTATTTCTAGGTTTGAACCCAATTTGTACTGGTGGTGCTTGGGACATTGAAATTGTAAACGATTGCTGTGTGGTTTGACTTTTTCCCGGAATTGAATTAATTGAAAACCTTCAAGTTAAAGTTCCTGTTATTCTTCTTTGGAAGAATGTGCTATATGATGATTTAGAGCATTTTCCAAAATATGGACTTGCTATAGTTGTGGTGGCTTGTGAAGTTTGTGATTCATTATGTTTGTCATGTTTTGGTGGGGATAGCTTAATAGGGTGACTTGATAAGTTTTATAAGTTTTTTTCAAATAAATCAAATCCCAACTCAAATCTAATTCAATTTTAACTTAATTTTATTATCCTCAATATTATCAATATGATTAAATAATATCAATTAATTATATATACATATTACATCAACTTTAATTTACTATTCATCAACTCACTTAATGTTAACTACTCTTCACTTTCATGAACATTTTTTCTACTTTTATGTCAAATTAATTTTAACTATATTATACAAACTCAAAACCTAATTCAACTGACTTTTTTAAAATTAACTCTAGTTAACTAAAAAATTCAATCAAAACTCAATAAATCTATGTCCAAGCAAGCTTTTAGGGGCATGAATTTGGTGCAAAATCCCTTTTTCCAGTTTCTCATGAAGCAACATTCAAATTCTCCCAACAATATGAACAATCACAATCACAAAAACAGATTTCTCAGCCCAGATGAAACTAAAAATAGATTTATTTGCCCAGTTGAAACTTTAAATTCTTCCAACAAATTGTACTTTTACAAAAAAGACAGATTTCTCAGCACGGATGAAATTAAAAACAGATTTATTCGCCCATATGAAACTCGAAAAGGATGAGATGTTCAAGTTACATACATAAACCAACTCAAAAGTTCATTCAAAACATGGCATTTTTTCTGGCAAGGCCATCAGTCGCGGAATTCATCCATGAATCCTTTGTGAAATTCAGTTAGACGAGAAACAATGGCCGGAATTCTATCCTCCTGAGGCAATATCGTGCACCTAAAATGCCACGTCCCAGGGACCTATCACCAAAAAATAAAAAGAGTCATCAGTACTTCCTAAAAATATCTGTTTCAAGAAATAAGTTGAAGTCTAAAGGGCCTCTTAGTATACATTTATAGGTCAATTTGCTTATTCTAAAATAGAAAATAATAACAGTAATGGCAAATCGAAACAAAAAACGAATGTCATTAATAAACGGGTATCTCTTTTACCTGTCCAAATCCAGAACCGGGAACAACTACAATTCCAGTTGCATTAAGGAGACGACGGGCATAGAATGCATCTGGGGCTGTGTTAACAGCTTTTGCAGCCTCAATTGCTTTATTAGGCAATCGAATACGAGGAAACAGATACATTGCACCTTCAGCCCGGTTACAGGTCACTCCTTCTAGACCATTCAATGCCTCCTCAAGACTCTGAAAAAAAACATAAAAAATTAAAACAAACGTTAAACTAAATCGATCTTTCAACAGAGCCGGATAAACAAATTTAGTAATAAGGAGCAAGAAAAATTCCATTTTTTTTATCAGTTTTGCCTTGATAATTATCAAAGATCATTGGATTTTGGTTAATTAAACTAAACCTCAAAGACTAACCTTGGCACGCCTTGCTAGGGAGGATAAGATTGCATCTTTCTCTGCAGAATAAGACTCGTACGATTCATCTCCCACCTGCTCATATGCTCATATTAGATTACATCGGATTTTCTTAAGAGAGTTGTACTTATGAAAAAAGTGATTTGGGGGGGGGGCAAAACGATAAATATCTAACCTTTGGGGGGTTCATGACAAGGCTTGCAAGAATCTGACCAGAAATGTTAGAACAAAGGTTCACTGACGCGACTTTATATATCTGATCCCTTATTTCGGGACTAAAACCGGTAATTTCCATGTAGCCTCCTCTTTTTCCACATTCTCCGTAATAACCTGTGGAAGAGTGAATAAAGATGGACTTCATCTACTCCAAAAATGGTCTATTAAATTAAAGCAGTTCTTATCACATACAATTAGAACCTGAATAGCCCTACCTTTGGACACAGACTGGAAAGAAACCAAGGAAATATCTTTCTCCCCATAACCCATTGACCGAGCAATTTTCTTAAAGGAGTGGAACTTCTTGTCAGGCACATAAATATTTTCTTGGTACACCTGGTATCCAAAAATTCATGATATTAAGGATTATACTTTCAAGCATTAGTTACCTAATTGTATTGAGGTTTATCTTAGCTNCAAAATGAGAGACATTTATTTTATTTTATTTTATTTTTTTTGAGTAATTGCTTTAAGAAATGTAGTCACCTCGTCTGCCAAAAGAACAAGCCCTTCTTTCTTGCAGAAGTCCACAATTTGCTTTTGGTTGTCCTCAGCCAGAACCTTCAGAAGAAAAAAAATTAAATATTCAAATCGTGAAACGATGAGATAACTAGCAAGACCATTCGAACTTTTGAGCATTAATAAAACTGGAACAGGACGCTAAGAGATAACATGAAAGACCAATCAGAATCTAACATATGTAAATATTCAATATAGGAAAACTATTAAAATTCGACCTCAATAATTATTAGTTGTTCGTTAATCATTACCTGCCCTGTGGGGTTGCCAGGATTTATAACAACCAAGGCCCTGACATTAACACCATTTGATTTGGCACTTTCTAACTGTTTTTTAAGTTCGGAGATCTCAAGTCCCCATCCAGTAGCTTCATCAAGAAAATAAGGAACCTGGAAAAAGGAAACCAAAAGTTAAAACATATTCACTCATAATTTTTTATTTTTTTAATCAACTTAGCCATATGTAATACTTACAAGAGTGCCACCATGTAGAGCAATTGAAGCAGAATAGAGTGGATATTGTGGAATAGGGCACAGAATGCCATCATTCTTCGATCGTATCAGTAGCTGAATCATCATATGAACCTGAAAAATATATATATAACAATAATAATTAATAATAATTATTATAATAAAGAGTCTTATCCAGCAACAGGAATAGTTATTGCAAGTTTGCAAAAGNAAACAAGGTATCTTATTTATTTATACCGCAGGGCTTGCACCATCTGTCAAGAAAATATCGTTCGGATCAGAAGGGAATCCATCACGGACTTCAATGCCAGCACAAATTGCATCGCGTAGTCCCTTGATACCCTGATTTTCATTTAATAACAGATAAAACTTTAGTATATAAGCAAACCAGCTTCAACACATGCATGGTTTTCCAGTAGAGGCTATTGCTAATGCTACCTGGCTGTGACTATAAGCACCAGTGGCTCTTCCAGGAATTTGCTTCAGGATTTGTAATGCTCGTTTGATGGAGTCAGCACTGAAAAATCCACCATGTACAAGTATTATTTATTAGTAACAAAAAATGGACCAATAAGGAGTCCAAGAACTCTAGAATAATTTATGATCAAGAAAGGGAAACTCTGAAAAATATTAACTATTCATAAAGTGGTAAAAGACCTTACGAAATTAAACATTCATGATCCTGCCAAAAGAATACATATGTGGAAAGATGATTTGATTCAATTATTGAAATATTGTACAAAAGGACTTAAAAAAGGACTTAAAAATTCAACTGTGATTACAGTAAATTCAAAAGAGTTGCTAGTGAGGAAATATCCTTGTGAGATTGTCACGGGTGAGTTGTTGCAATTTTCGGTATATATTATTATATAGACAAATGTATTACAAGATTTGAGTGTCATTACCTAAATAAACCCTGTGTTTCAGATTTATCCAAAATAGCAGGATGATCACATAAAGCAAGAACCTGAAATAAGAACCGAATACGTTAGAAATTCTAAACACAAGTTGGCGCAACATTTTCTGGATTGCACTGTATGAAAGCATTTTACGCACCTCCCTGAAAAATGTGATTGGCTTCTGGTCAAGGGATTGAGGATTCCCGATATTGCAGTATAGTATCTGAAGAAGACAAGAAGCAATACTAAATTCCCCTTATATAATTCCTAATTAGGGATAATAAACTAATAAAAGGAAAGGCAGATTGTGAAATGAATACTAATCTTCAAAACAATACAAGCACCTAACAATTTTGTGGTTAGTATACCTTTCCATTTTAAGTACAAATTCTTACTATACCTTTCCATTTTATGTACAGATCCTCGTTTTATTAAATTCTCCACTTAAACCAAATAGTACAAGTAGTTCATATACTATATTAGGAATCACAAGTTTTGCAATAAATCTTCCATTTTGCAAGCTAAGTAAGGAAAAAGTACCTCATCAAAGGGATGGGAACCCGAGTTGTTCTTCAATTCTTCTTGCAATTTCTGATCAGAAAATAGCGTAAGAATGTTAATGATAACACAACAAGAGAAACAACATGCTTATAAGCATGATTGACAAAAATGCAAAAAGAATTAATTACCTGAGCAAGGATCACAATTTCTCCTCGGACAGCATATTCACACTCCAAAACCTGGTACACAAGTTTGATTATTTATTATTACAAGTATCATCAGATAATCATTATCATTATTATCAACACCATCAATTATCACTGTCTAAACTCGTAGCTCAACTAGCTACCCAAACTCAGATACTCCAGATAACCCACTAGATTTTCGAATAAAAAATACAATCTTTAACCCAAAAAAAAAAGGAATAAAGATACAATATTTATGACAAAGATTGAACAAACAAAAACGATTCGAGCGTATTACACAAAGTCGCGCATGCCCACCTTGGGATTGATCGAATCAACCTTAACCGGCGTAGAAGAGTAATCCGAAGCCATTGAACCAGAAGAAGACTGCGAAAATGGATTGGGTTTATTAGCTAAGGTGCTTAAATAGCGCAAAAGAAAGGCAGATGTGATAAGGGTCTCTGACTTTTTTGCGGACAAGACGACGAATAAAGTGAGGCAGTGAGATGCTGAGACACGGCGATGGGAATTTTCCTGTGGGCTGAAATATTCCTGGTTTTCCCAGCTGCGAATTTCCGCATTTTCGGCTGATTTTAGTGAGATATATAATAATTTACTCTCTTTTTTCTCAATAGAGCTTTTTTTCTTCTTGTCATCATGTGAGCTCAAAACTAGTATTGTATGGGGTGGCCCACACTGTGGTCCTCAAAATGTACTTATATATGCATATTTCCATCACTATCATAATACATGACCACAGTCCTGGCCTCGTTTACTTTGGAGGATAGGACGGGATAATTATTTAAACATACGTTTACTTTGAAGAATTGGGATAAGATTGATTCCATGTGGCATCAACGTGGCATTCGGGCCCCACAACTTAATCCCTGAATGACCGATTATTTCATCCCGACATCAAGTTGGGATTTTTTAATCCCAGCACCATAATGACTATTTTATCCAAGTAAAGCCACGTGAAATGTTCATTATACCCTTACATGTCCAACAAATTACAGATTCACCATTCTTCTCGTCTTGCTCGTTGGGTCATTATCTTTCCCCGTCTAATCTTCATCTTCTTCTCAAATCACATTTATCAAAACAACCAACTCTCAAATTTCTTCCCTATAATTTTCATATTTTGTTCTCAAATCTATCTCCTTCTTTGATTTATTCCTCCATGAAGGCCTAGCACCAAAGCCCCAAATTCTGAAATACTCTTTTCCCAGGAGCACGTCTGACTTGAAGGAGGAATCCGTCTGATGCTCCGCCGAGTTCCAGCGATGGAACGCCCCCGCCGCCGATTCTCTTTTGATTTCGAAGCATAGAGATAAAAAATTTGGGGGAATGGTGGGCTTGTTTCTCCGCATATCTAAGGGCTTGTCTCTACGAAAAGGTAGGGACGATTACTTCGAATTGTTTCTCTTTTGTTTTGATGTATTAGATCTAGTAATGGTGGGCTTGTTTTTCTAAAAATCCATGATTTGACATTCTTTATATCGTATTGTTTTGGTCTGCTTATGATTGGATTTTGATTTCTAGGATTTAATGTTGAAGATTTGATAATATTGTGAGATTATCAAAGAAATGTGATGAAACAATGTGGAATAATTCAATATGTGAGATTTTCGATGATGAAAAGTCAATTTTTTGGCCTGCATATGATTGGGTTTTCATATTTGTTGGCGATTTGATAATTTCATGAGATTCTAGCAAAAAAATGTGATGAAACAGGTTTAAAATATGTGAGTTTTCAAAATTCAATATGAGATGTCATTAATCTTAGTGCTCTGTCTTCATGTGATCCAGATCTCGTTGGGCATCATTTCTTTTTGTGTGAGGAACATTGTGATTTGTCATTTAAGGATCTGAGTTTTATTTGATTATAACTTTGTAGATCTATGTTTCTTTCAACATTCTGTATTTATTCTCATTTCTGTTTCATGAATGAAGGAAAGTTGCCTTTTNGATGGCAAGGATCTCCACATTTCTGTGACTATGTCATCCATTGAGGTCAAATTTGACATCCTAAGTTGCATTCAATTAGCTAACACGATTTTTTTACTGGAATTTGTTATTTATTTATTTCAAAAGAGGCTGATGAATCGAAATTGTAGAAGTGCTCTGTTTGCTAATGTCAAACTTGAAGTAGAACAAAAAAATCTCTGAGGCACACTTCCCCTGCTGTGAGATGAAGATCTTAAAGCACAAGTTGGTATTTGAAAATTGTAGTTTTATTGCTTTTTTATAAAGGCCTTGCAAACATTTTTGGTGGTTAAACAATGATAAACACATTTACTTGTATGGTGAAATTTTGTAAAATTAGAAAACAAAAAGAAAAGGAATGAGTTCCATATCTTTTGTTGGATTCCAGGTTGGCACTGATGGAGGTGGAACACAACTGGCATCACAATCGGCTTACCTCAATCTGCTTGGTTAGTTAATCATGGTGAAGACTCGTATTGAAGTTTTCTTAATCTTGCTTTTGGTTTAGTTCTTTAGTTTGATTTTTCTTTTGGGTGGCAGCCTGGTTTTTTTTCTTCTGTTTTTAGTTGGTGTTAGTAATGGAGAGGGAGCTACCAGTTTTGCTATTGCTCCTTCCATCCTTGTCTCTTCAACTGTTGTCGTTGTAATGTGATCATTTCATCTCCCCGTTGTACACTTTTCGAGGTTTTAATGTTACTAGTGCGTGGCCCGTGCCATGCACGAGAAAACAATATTTTGATTGTATAATAAATTGAATAAATAAATAACATTAATCATGATTTATCTATTATTTTTAAATTAAACCGGGTTGGACACAGTCTGACCGGATGGACCGAGAACCGGTTTATAACCAGTCTAGTGCGCTTGAATAAAATATTTGCTATCGAATCTTCAACACCAGTCTGTTGGATTGGTAGGATCGATACGATTTTCTAAACAAATTTTGTTACATTAAAAATAATTTTAAATAAAATTACATATTTAAATAAAATAGAGATTTATAAATTGTTTATCAATTAATTTAAACATTTGAATTTATAAATTTTTTAGATATTTAAGTAACACTTTTATTTAAATTAATTACAAAAAGTACTAAATATATATATATAAGTATTATGTATTAAAATTTGAACAACCACAAATGATTTAATAAAATAACTTCATCGTTTCGATGACGGTCCGGTTCTGAAAACCTTATATTTACCGTACATTAATAAAAAAATACAATAAAATAATTATTTTGTTCACATAAATAATAATAAAATGATATATAAATATTCATAAATCATTAATCATGTTGTCATAAAAGTACTGTTAATATGATTATTTAAAGTTTCGTAATAAAGTATTTTCAATATTAAAATTTATATTTAGGTTCAATAATCGATTTTGTCTGGTCAAACTGATACATAACTTAGTTACCCGGGACCAACTAAGTTGTTTCAAAGTTTTTTGACTATTTTAAATATCACCTAAAAGTATATCAATCAACGTTGGCAGTACCCTAATTCAATCACCCGATTGATCCAAAGTAATTTCTTTATTTTCTTTAGATATAATATTTAATTTTATGAAATAAAAAAATTTTATCTTTCATATGTCTACACCAAATAATAGTATATTAAGATTGTAAATTATATATCTAAAGATGAATTATTTATTTTTATTTTATGCATATTAATAAAAAATAAACATAGTAATTTAAAAAAAAATCAAGATTAATTGATTGGGTATGCAATTTAAAGAATATTTTTAGCATTCAATATATATATATATATATTAACATGATTGAATTTTTGGATTAGAATAGTTGTATTTAAAATAATTTTATTATTAAAAGTCAAAAAAAAAAAAGATGCCATAAAGATTACAACTTTGAAAAGTTTGTAAACATTAATTTAGGAACCATCCGATTTTAAATGATTTTATAATTTTTGAAAGCATCTAAAATCCATTAATTTAGGAAACATCCAATTTTTTGATAATGAATTAAAATTAAAATGTAAAATAAAGAAATTGCTGAAAATAGTATATAATGAATGTGGTTTGACTTTTCTTACTACTATTTATGGTAAATGTTAATTCTTATTATATATATATAGATTTGATATTTGATTAAAAAAAAATGCTCATGAAAATTTGTTGCATTTGATTTTTTATTTCCCTTATAAGGAGGGCAAAATAGTCATTTTATCGAATATCACAAGTTTTTATCCTGTTCACTAAATCCAAGACTATTTCCATAAAAAATCCATCAAATCCATGTCACTTTATTAATAGTCCAATCCCATCAATAAAAGTAAATCCAAGACTATTTCCATAAAAAATCCATCATTAGTGCTTTCTATAGTTAGATACACGTGTAGATTATGTAGTATAAATAATCTACGGTAACAAACACTGACGGAATCATTCCGTCAAGGGAATGATAGTAATTCCCCATAATATTATTTGAGTCGAATCGAGTCTAGTAGCTTATATCTAAGTTTGTACATATTTAATAAATTAGATGTCTCAACTCGTTAATAAAATATCGAGTCGGGTCGAGCAGCTTATATCCAAGTTTGTACATGTGTAATAAATTTGACGACTCAACTCATTTAATAAAATAACAAAATGTCGGTCTGGAGCTCATCTCGATTGAGTTTATAAAAGTTCGATTAGACTCGTTTAGTAAATTTAATCCTTAAATAAATTGTTTCATATTATATTATAACGAAAATAACTATTTTTATCACAAATGATATGGTAAATTTTTTAAATCACTGCAAAACTTATGTTTTACACTTTATATAAAAAATTTATAGAGCCAGAGGATGTGTTCCTTATGAAGACATTTGTAACTTGATAGAGTGACACATATCTAAAATGTATTTATTGTAGGATATACGCTAATACATCATTTAGTAATAATTGTGGATTGTTCAATAAAATCGTGTCATTTGATGACCCATAGCAAAACTGCTATATGGTGCTATCAAATCAGACATTGTGTGATCATCGATCACGTAGTAGGACCACATAATTCAATTACGTGGACGAAAAAAGTTTATTGAAAATGTGGTGTGAAAAAAAATATACAATTTATTATTGAGGTACAAATGATATTCGTCCGTATATTATATAACGTTATATATATTAGATCAATACGAATATGATATTTATATAATATTCATGTCATAATTTCTAGGCAAATTTAAAACACGATTTAATAATGAATAATATAAATAATAAATTCAATTTTTTTCCTTACACCAATTAATTCAAAATTAAATGACTTACTAAAATAGGCACTATGCTTTTGGTAAAAGAAAGAAAAAAGAAAAAAAAAAAAAACTTTTCCTTCACTTATAATTTTGAGCAAAATTTCAAAATTTGTCCTATAACTTGGCAACTGTCCAAAAAACCACCACGATATTGACCATTTTCAATTTAGGTCCTATAATTTGTCGATTTCATCAATTTTGGTCTTTTTTATCCGCACCCTGGATTAAAAAGTGACGTGGCATGATGGGTCAGTTTTTTAATGTTACATGGCGTGATTATGATCTACGTGGCACGTCAATTTTGGTCATATAATTTGTCGATTTCATCAACTTTGGTCTTTTTTTCATGCCATGTCACTTTGTAATCCAAGGTGCGGATAAAAAATGATTAAAATTGATGAAATATACAAATTATAAGATCTAAATTGAAAGTAGTCAATATCGGAGTGGTTTTTTGGACAATAACAAAATTATAGGACCAATTTTAAATTTTTGCCTATAATTTTGTCAAACAACAAAATATATACATGTGATTAGATGAATGCAAAATGTAAGCGTAGACTCGATTATGCACTCGATAATTGCAACACCACATCAAACATATAGTTATATTATGACCTGAATTAATTACAAAAAAGCCCTGTAAGCAGATATCTAAAAAGGACATTCTAATAACTGGAGTTGTACGTTCAAATTCAAATCTCACAACCCCAAATCAAAGGTACAATCTATCATCATCATGGGTTATACATAATAAATAAAAACATGCAAATTAAAAAACAAAAAGAGAAAGTGTAGTATTATTATATTATATTATAATCCCCCCATTTTAATCAATTGCGCTCATAAGCCACATTTGCCGCCGGCAAAAACGTCGAGGCCTGAATAAAGGACTCCACATCAAACCTCGCGGCCTGGGCCTTGGGCAAACTGGGCTTATACCCAGCCCACTTCACCCTCTTATCCGTCCCCGCCCCAGGCCCAGTATTCTGAGACTCGGCGTAGAAAATGGTGTTGGGCGGATCCACATTCGGTACCCACGAAATCCAGCCCAATGGACTCAAAAACGAGCCGATGCTACTCCTCATGATGACCGTTGTGGAGAAATCCTTCCAGGGCCGGCCCAAATACGTCTGGGCCGTGAGCTTGTCCAATGGGGTCAACACGCACTTGTCGATGGATATCCCCGTGTTCTGATTCGGGTCCTTTTTACCCTGGGCCGTGATGGTCACGAACTGGTTGGCCAGCGGCTGACGTGGCATGATCCGGCAGCTTTGGAAAACGACGGCCGCATTTCCGAACACGAAGTCGATTGTTCCGGTTATGTCACAATCGCGGTAGAACTGGCGATTGGAGTGCGCGTAGAGCGTGTCTTGAAAAGCGTCGAACGAGCACCGGTGGAAAATGGATAGGTCCGACCCAGATCTGAGGGCCACGGCCTGGTGTTTGGCGGCGCCAGCTGTGTTTTCGAATTTCATGTCTCGGGCGATGAACCCCTTTCCTGTCACGGCTGTTCCAAAATTGCAGGTCAAGTCGGTTATTCTTTATTCTTTAAAATAGTTTAATGGAAAAAATAAATATGAAGCCATTATTATTTTTTATTTTAAAGTATGTAATTGTTCTTTGATTAAAAAAGCAAATGTTGACCATAGAATTCGGTGGAGCGAATATTGGGAACTTGACTAAAGAGTGCGACCATATGGTGAGGTGTGGAGTACAGGTAGTTAAAAGTGAAAACTCATCATTTGTATGAAATTAGCAAAAAATGAAGTGAAAGGAAAAAGAAAAAGAAAGATGATGATTGATGAGCATGAGTGAGTTGAATAGCACACTTATTGCAGCATAAACAAGACGAATTGAGCTTGCGTCATTATCAAATCGAGCAGAGATGAGTACGGCTCATAACTAAAACTGCAGACAAACAACTTTAAATTGGACTCGTTTATCAGTGGTAGTGACCAGAACTTAAGTTTTATCGAGCTCATTTCATTTAACAACTCGATGTAGAACATAGTTTCCATTATAGCAATGCCAGACATAGGGACGAAGGATTTTATCTGTGTATTACTAATTACCTCATTTCATATAGCAAATAAGCAAATTAGCAAAAAACTTTTGGATTTTATGAGTCAGTAATTTTCTAATGAAATCTCTATCAGCGAATGAAAATGAAAAAATAATAAAAAAAAAAAAGACAAAGAAACTCACCGAAGGTGGCCGTGGAGAAGGTCGGAGTGCCGTCGATGAAATTCTTGCTGCCGGAGATGATGGTGGCTTCCTTCCCGTCGCCGTACATCGTTACGTACCAGTGGTGCTTGTCGATCACCACGTTTTCCGTATACTTGCCGGCCTTCACATATATTACGAATCTAAATTTGCTCTTCTTCGGAATTCTCTCCACCGCCTCTTTCACCGTCCTCACATCTCCGCTCCCATCCCTCGCCACCGTCACGTTCGGACGCGGCGGCTTCGCCGCGGCCAGCATCCTCCGGTCCTCCTCCGCCACCCAAGCCGGAAAATCCTCCTCCGCCGCTAGCAGGCGGCGGTGGCCGCCGAACGGGATCTTGAATTCGCCGAGCAACGAGAGAAACTTCGACACGATGGCCAGGCTGTTGCTCGCGAACTCCGCCGCGTCCATCGACCGGTTCCGGACCTCGCCGGCGAAGGCGGCGCCGGCCTCCTCCAGCGCGTCCAGGCACGTCTCCTGGTCCGTCACCACCGAGCTCAGCCACGTCCGCATGTCGCCGACAGTCTCCGACGAGAACAGACCGCCACCGTCGGAGACGGCCGCGGCCGCCGCGTCGTTGAGGAAATCGACGGCGTCGTCCAGGACGGCGCCACAGACGCTAGCTGCGGCCTTCACGAGCGGATCCGACGAGTTCGCGGCGTACGCGCCCGGGAGCGTCGATGCCCTCCGCAGCGCGTCGGCAGCCACCGTCAGCGAGAATCTGAAGATCTTCGCCGGATCTGATGAGTTGGCTCCGGAAAGGCTGGCGGCGCACGCTTCCGGGTACTGAGTGACGCCGCACACGGTTCGGATCGCGGCTGCCGGGGTGGTCGGGATCCCGCCGGAGCGGCCGGATTTCCGGTTGTGGATCACGACTCCGGTGACTACGGCGGCGATTAGGGCCGCCAGGAGGACGAGGGAGACGGAGAGTATGATTAAGCGCCGCCGGGTTTTTCGTCGGAAATTGGATTCCTCGATCTCGTCTACTTTGCCGTAGCCCTTGAAGGACTGTACTGTGTCCATAGCTGTAAATTTAATTTTACCTTTTTATATGAATCTTTTTGACAGTGGGTAATTTTGTTTTGTGTATTGTGCGATTTTGGGCGATTTTTATAGAATTTGAGAATTGTGTGTGCTTTGTTGGATGGTTCTGTAAGAGTTGACAATGAATTAAAATCCTGTCATTTGGTTTGGGGACTTTATAAATCTATGACTATGCATGCTAATGAATTTGATTGCTTTAGATTATTATTATTAATAGTTTACGCGTCTCCCTTTTTTAGAGTATGAGTATCTATTGTTTTTAGTTTTTATTTTTCATTTATACTTTTATAATCCATTGTTAGTATTTTACGCGTCTCCCTTTTTGGAATATCAATTGTTTTTAGTTTTTATTTTTCATTATACTTTTATATATACAATGAGTATGTTAAATCAAAAATCATGAATAAATAATTAATTTAATATTATATATAAAAAAAATTAACAAAAAAATATTACTAAATTTTAAAATATATTTATAATATAGCTACTATTTGATTATGTGCACAAACACATATCCAAGTAAAATTTTGTATGTTATATATGTGCATATGTAATATTTATAATATACACGAGCGTGTCCATTTTATAAATTTTATTATTAGCAAAAACGAACGTTATAAATATAAACTATTTAAATTTTAACTTACATATAAATTTGGATTGATTGCAATAATGTAATTTTTAAAATATTAATTGAATGATTATGACCAATTAATTATATAAAATAACATTAAAATTATTATTATAACAATTGTGTATGAAATTTTAAAGAGTTTGGTTATGCCATAAAAAATAATTAACTAATTTTAATAAAAAACTTGATTAATGAGCTTGTTAGAATATCACTTGTGAGTTGTCCCACATCGTTCATACATGGAAAATAGACACACCTTATAAGACTAATGGACTACTCCTCCTTCCACTAATTGGTTTTCGGATGGAACCCCACTTAGACTTCATATAGGCTTTTCCCCATTTTCTCATGGTGCGTTTCATGATAGTGGTCTGCACCTGTTTTCCCCCAGTTTCTGTCAGAGCTGAAAAAATATTAAATAAATAGCTTGAAAAAAAGTTCTAGAATTCAATATTATTAAATGTGACTTTATGATTAGTTAGTATTAACTGTTATGTAATAAAATAAATAAAAATATAATTACTTGATTAATATAAAATGTAACGAAAAATAAATGGTAAATGAAAATAATTGTCATAAACTTTTTGCCAATAATTATGTATATGCATACAGATTAGAGAAAATGTTTCATAATTTTAAATATTCATAATAGACGTGGATAAAATTCTAAAATTACTCATTGTTATTTGAAAAAAAAAACATATTACGAAGTTAAAAGATGATATATAGGACTCAAACAAAGCACTCAAATTAGCATTTAAACTCGAAAAAAATTGTCTTCACATATATAAGAATATTTATAAGTGGTGCTAAAAAAATGATATTGGGAAAAGGTCGTTACCGGCCGAGTTCATATATCATGTTGCAGTTTGATATTTAGTATATGTTTGGATGCACTTTTGTATTGGACTTTTGATTATAAAAGTCCATTTATTATATAAAAAGATGTTTGGTGTAGATAACAAAATGGACTTTTAAAAAAGTAACTCCCATAAAAGTCGATTTCAAATAAGTTTATATTTAAAATTTTTTGAGAAATCACTTTTCAAAAAATCCATCTTAAGATGTACTTCTCAATAAATGTTTCCAAACAAGCCTTTAATCTCATGTTTCATTTCGTTAAATAAAAAAATGTGTATACAAATATGACAACATTATATGCACGTGTCATTATCTAACTGAATTAATCACCAAATGAAATAGAAAATTCCCATTCTTCCTAACTCGACCAAATATAGTATCATTTTATTTTCTTGTCCTAGACAAATAAGTAGCTAATAAGACAAAAAATATTCCATACGCCCAACTGAAATTCATCAGTTTTCGCCATTGATTGTGGCGAAAACTCAGTGGGCCAGATAATAAACTCCACATCACATGTCGACACGAATGAATTTTTACTTTTTCCCGAATTTGAATCAAATAAAGAATAGGTGTTGCTGTTATAATATTGTTTGACAATTTAGGTAAAATACCTTTAGAGAAAAAAAAAATAAAAAAAAAGGAAGAAGAAGAAGAAAAAACACAAAAGGGAATCTTTTGTGGCAGCACACCGCGTATTTGTCTGTCCAAAGCTTATATTAGTACATCAGACTTCAGAGGAAACTAATCATCCATTCCCTTCCTCTTATCTATCTTATCAAACCTAATTCAAAGATACAAAACAATATTACTATATATATTTTACTATTTATCTGCTAGTACATTTTTAGCTGTCAATAATTTATACTCATTAATTTACTACTTTTATATCACATTAATTTTCATCATTACAATTTATCTAAAAAAATTTACAAACTCCAAATTAATTAATTATTACATTCATTTTTCCACTTCTTCATCACTTTTTCTGTTAAACTAGCACGTACCTCGTGCGATGCATGCGAGAGAGATATTAAATCAATTATTTTCACAGGCTCTGTCCGTTTAAGTCTGAGAAGGGTTATCATCCATTTTCCACATCTTTTAATCACCGTTAAGTCTTGTTTAAGCCTGAAAAGGATTATTGTTAGTGTTATTTTTGTTATGTTTTTATTAATGTTTTTTATTATTATTTTTATGTATTTTTAGTAAGTTTGTGGGATTTTGGGTAGTTTTTAGTTTTATTTAGTAAATTGTAATATTTAAGTATTTGTGTGGAATTTTGTATATTTTTCTTGTATTTTTCGAGTATTTGTAAAATAAAAGAACGGTCGAAAATCTCGGAAGAGCAGGATTTTGGAAAGTTATTGAGCATGATAACATTAATGGAAAGAGGAGCTTGTTAGCTACACACAGGAAAAAGCGGAACTCGATTTCGAGTTCGGATGAGTTCGTACGGAACCGAAGAGTAAAATCGAGCGAGTTGCCGACACCTTGGAAGTTAAAAATCCTTAGATAATTGTATTCTGGGTGAAATTTGTATTGGCATACATCATTGAATAGAGGGGTTCGTTAGCAACGCGTAGAAAAAAACGGAACTCAATTCCGAGTTCGGACGAGCCCAAAACGAGCCCGAGAAGCAGAGCTGCCCGAGACGTGCGCGAATGCGCGCGGAAAAATTCATTCTCGGATTTTGTCCGAAAATTCCAACCTTTCTCTCATTTTTCCTATCTTCTTTGACCTTTTCTTGCATTTTTCTTGGTGGTTGAATTATTGTTGAACTTTGGTTGATGTTAGTTGATGTTAGTATGCTATTTATATCTATAAATAGCAACATTATCATCAAAAAAAAAGGGGGAGGAAAAAGAAAAGGGAATTTTTCCATATCATTTTATCTTTCCACATTTCTATTTTTACTACATTTGTAAGTTTGAATTTGTAAGATTAAATTGTTGAAGATTGTTGAAGTTTGGACATTAAGTTTGCACTTGCTCTAGCTTGTGGATTACTAGTAAGTTTTCTTTTTATTTTATGTTTATAATGGTTTATTTACATAAGAATTTGTATGTTAAAATTACTATGAGTAACTAATTTCCTAACTAGGGTTAGGGGATAATCGTTTCGGTTTATTATCGTTTATAAGTATTTTTATTGCTCAATCTTTACAAATTTTATTAATATTATGGTTAAATGTTTGATCACCATTTTAATCTACATAATCGATTTCATAACCGAAAGGGGCGAAGTTGATAGAACTTGATTTGTTTAGAATAGACATGTTCGGAAACGTATTGTTTATGTGTTAACCGTTCCACTAATTCATTTATTTAAGTTTATTCGTATATTACGAGAGTTAGTACGGATAAACCTCTAGATGAGTAAATTAAGTGAATCGTTTAACTGAGTAATTTAATTACCGATAAATGTTAATAAAACAGGAATTGATTATCCCCAATACCCTAGACTTTTACATTTATTAAAACTTATCTTTGTCATTTTAGTTATTCTCTTTTCTTCCTTAAAACTTTATAATTTGAAAGTATTTAACTAGTAGAACAATTTATTTGTTTGAAAGTTTTTACTAGTAGAACAACTTATAATTTGAAAGTATTTAACTAGTAGAACAATTTATTTGTTTGAAAGTTTTTACTAGTAGAACAAATTTTAGTTTGAAAGTATTTACGAGTAAAACGATTTTATCGTTAGAAAGTATTTAATAGTAAAACGACTTTATCATTTGAAAGGTTTTCAGAGTAAAATGATAGCATTTATGGTACTTTTAATTTAGTTTAAAACCCCATTATTAAATTGAATTAGAATGTTTAGGAATATTTTCTCTTTTGTGAATTGAATAAACATACAATTTAATCCGGCTAACCTTCCTTAGAGAACGACCCGAGTCGGGTAACTCGGTTATTACTTGCCCAAAAATATTACCAACAGTTATCATCCATTTTCACCGCTTTTAATCACCGTTAAGTCTAAAAAATAGGATTGTAATCTATTTTTCACATCTTTTAATCAGCGGTGTCTTATTAGTCAGAACATTAAGCGTGAGCATGTTAGGGCTAACTTGTAAAATAATTAATATATTATCTCACTAAGACATTTATACTGATATAAATTTAATTTTATTATATATATTTATTCCTTGATATAAGAGTAAATAATAATTTTACTTATTCTTGTTTACTATATAATAGTTAATTATTATTTTACTATAAACTCTATTGCCATATAATGTCATTATGATTTATAAATTTATAGAAGTTGCACGTCTTCTTGTTCTTTTTATTTTATGTAATGAAATATATTTAATGCACGTTGGTATTATTTATATAAGTAATCAATTTAAAATATGTTAATAAAACTAAAATTAAATAGTGTATAAATAATGTACAAAATATACACATATATTTTTCTAGAATTTAATTTTGTATATTAATTAAACAACTTTGATTTAAGAAAAGTCATGAACTCAATCGCTTCTAATATCAATATTTTTCTAATTTGCATTATAATGATTATTCTTATTATATATATAGATTAGAATTTTTGCGACATCAACCAAACTAAATATCACAACAACCAAGTAACAATTATGAAAAACCTATAACACAACAACTATCAATTAAATTTGGTAATAGAAAATCACATGCATATATATAAAAATATGAGGATTCTATATTTCTATTAACTGATGTATACAACACGTGTATAATTTGTTAAGGTATATTTTCATAGCATGATAACAATCAGTCTTAAAAAATCGAAAATCTTATTGAAATGCCATATTTTTCTGTTAAAAAAAAAAGTTCCCATAAAAAATAATTATATCATAGCAAATTCATTGTGCAATTGAACAAATTTCTATAATGAAGCCCGATTTTCTGTACAAAAATAAAGCAACAACTTCCACATTTTAAGGAAATCAATTAATGTTGGTTCGTTTTTGCTAAGAAAATAATAAATAAATAAATTATAATTAATGGAAAATAATTAAAGATGAGAGAATTTGACCATATAGTTGACCTGCCATTTTTTAAAAATGGTAATTCTTATAATATATATATATAGATAAATAAATCAATTAAATAAAATATTAATACCGAAATAGTAATGACATTTAATGCAGTTGACTTTTCTGGATATTAATGAATGTACATAACACTCACATGGAGTGAGGTCTATTTAATTTTTTATTTTTAGTGGATCCCACTCAATGTCAGTATTATGTAAATCTCTATGTACCTATAACACTTCCCTTATTATTATGTATGACATATTTATCAAACAAGGACATACCATACATAGTTTCATACATGTTCAAAATNAAATAAATCAAAATTAAAAAAAAAAAAAAAACAACAACAACAACAATAAATACTTCCATTCAAAATACAAAACTATTTTAGCTCAATTTGTTTCACAACCCTAGAGAAAATGGAAACCCGGTTCCTCCTAGCCAACTTCTGCCGTCGATAAAGTTTTCTGCCGTGTACGGCCGCACCTCATCCGCGCTCGTAACAACCTTAAACCCACGCCACGTCACCCTGCTCGTCGTATTTGCCCCGGGACCCGTGTTCCGATACTCCAAGTAAACAAGCGTGTCTAACGCAAACTCGCCATTCCACTCGTGCCACCCGGTCGGCCGGATGACATCATCGATCGTCGACTGCATGATCACCGTCCTACTGTACTCCTTCCATGGCCTCCCGAGGTAGGTCGGAAAGTCGCTTCGGACCGGAAATAGGTCTGGAGTGGCGCCTATGTGGCAATTCTGGATCACGATGCCCGTGTTCTGGTTCGGGTCGATTCTGCCCTGGGCCGTGACCATGTTGCGTTGGTTAGGGTCGGGCAGGCGGGCGAGGATGGTGCAGTTTTGGAAAACTGCAGCCCCGTTGCCGAATATGAAGTCGACTGTGCCGATGACGAGGCAACTGGTGAAGAACTGGCGGTTGGAGTGGACGTACAGCGTGTCCTGATATCCGAGCATGTCGCATCTGTAGAATGCCGAGAGATCGGACCCCACGCGCAGGGCCACGGCCTGGTGCTTGGCCGGGCCCGCCGTGTTCTGGAAGGTGATGTCCCGCGCGAGGAACCCTGCTCCGACCGCGGCTGCAGAATTATAAAACTCGATTCAGTTAATGTTAATTTTCTTGAAAGGCAAATTTTAATTCGATCGTAATAATCACTTTCAGATTCCAGTGTTCCGATTTCATGCTGCATCTGCATTTTTTGTTCATTCTGTTGGATGAATGACATGTGTATACACACGATATCATTCAACGAAATGAAATGTGATATGTAACTAGCGGTGTGAGTAGTTTATGTTTGAGGTCGAGATTGTTTGATTAACGAGCCAAACACTCAGCTCGAGTTCGATCGGCTTGTTCAAGCTCGTGAAAACTCGTTTCGGCTCGTTTAATGAACCTAAAGTTTTAAACGAGTTGTTCACGAACATGAAATGTCCAATCGCAAACAAGTTCGACTCAATAATTTTGTTTACAATCCTTGAGAAATAAAACAAAATTATAAATGAATGCTCCCCCTAACTCATTTAATAAACAAGTTCGATTCGATTTTTGAGACTGACTTGTTTAAGTAAATGAAGTAGTTGAGTTTGAGGTTTTACAAAAACGATTTGTTTTTGGCAAACGGTTGGATTCGTTTAATAGTTATAAAATGTAACAGAAAGTAGAATATAAAACAAAAGAAATGAAATATTTTCTCCATGTAAGCTTAATTGAAGGACAGGAAAACAGAGAAAGCCCAACAGTCTTATTTTCCAAGTAGGACCTATACGTACTAAACTAACTAAATCAGTGAATTATTAACATTTTTTTTTTTAATTAGAACTGATTGAATAAGTAGTTGTTCCTAATAGTCAATACTCTGCTAAAATGTGAACTCAGCTGGATAACATTTGACATCATGTTGATAACAATCATTCGTTTTGAAAACAGGGAGAACTTTACAGTTGGGTAAATTCAAAAGAGAAATCTTACAAATACATAATATTGTACATAAAGATTTACATAACTCTCACATTTAGTGGGACCCATCAAAAATAAAAAATTAAGTGGACCCCACTCTATGTGAGTGTTATATACACTTCTATGTACATTTATTATGTACATGTAGCATTTTCAGTTCAGAAAACCTGAACTATCATTTTCAAGATTTTGTATTTGAAAAATTAGTGCCAGACAACTAATGGTAGAAACCATAGGTCGTTAATTAAGGTTATCCTTTTCCTACTTGAGCTCTGCTGTAAAAAAAGTTGTAATTTATATGCACATTGTATTAATCAATGACAATGTGAGGACATTGTATTAGAAAAAAATATAATAAAAAAAAAATCCTATAATTTCATAAATTTTATACCAACTAGAATTTTCAATTTTTCAGATTGACTAATTTAAAATAGTTTTTGTGAGATTCAATTTTGGCCTGAAATATAATGGGACACTTGTGCATGGAATGTCAATATCAAGTTGGAATCTTCCTTCCATTAGAAATTGACGCATCACAGCACATAGGTTCAATTAAATTGGGCCTGAAATTCAAATTTTGGATAAAAAGTTTTGTCATAGCGTAAAATTTTAAAAAATTAGAGATAATATTTTCAAAATTCGTCCAAAATTATCATTAAAATGGTCAATTTTAATAATTATAGACACTTTTGTAATTTCCTAAGCATATATATATATTTAATCAATCAAAACGGACACGGATATAAAGAGACATGTCTATAAACAATTTGTAGGCAATTATTTGAAATACATCTCTGCTTAACCATTTTCCAACTATATTGTTTTTTCAAAAAAATATTTATATTATAAAATATTATATTTTTGTTTATATTATAATTTAAAAGATGTTAGGTGAAATATTGTCTCTATATCATGACAAAGATAGTTGACAGGAAACTAGGCGCAATTGGAGGACATGATATTGATTATTAAAACGTTGTTTTTTTATTTTATTTTATACATAAAAAGGTGCAAATTAAAAGATCAAGAAACTGCGCCACTGCTAAAGACACACAAAAAATTAAAATTATAAGCTAGACATGTCAGTCATTTCACTTGAAATCCTTTTATTTTTCAAAATTAACTTCAAATTTCAAAAACTGTAACAAAATTAAAATGATATCTTTAGTTATTGATAATTTCAAGTTCCAATTTTGCACTATTCTGAAAATATGAACAATATTGTAGCACTCAATTTTTTCAAAAATAATTATTATTTTTAATTTTAATTAATTTTCGTTTGATATATTATTTTGATAAAGTATGCATTAGTCAAAATTATTTATATAGTTAGATAATGGTCCTATTCTGAAAAGAAAAAAAAAAAAGTTAAAAAAGTAGGGAACTGTATACCCACCAACCGTCGCCGACTTGAACGTCGTGCTCCCGTCCTTCACGTTCCGGCTGCCGGTGATGATCGTATTATTCCGACCATCCCCGATAAACATTATGTTCCTCTTCTTCTTCCCGATCTCCACATTCTCCCTATACACCCCGGCCTTTATATGGATGACAAACCGCTTATCACTCTTCTCCGGCGCCGCCTCCACCGCTGCCGCCACCGTGGTGTAGTCACCGCTGCCATCCGCCGCCACCACCGCGTCCGGGGTAAAATTGCTCGTCTGCAGCAGCCGCCGGTCGCCGGCGGACAGCCACTCAGGCCATCCCCCCGCTTCCAGGAGCCTCCTCCCGCCGCCGGTGCCGGCGGCGGCAGCGGCGGCCACGTCGGCGTTGGTCATGTTGGTTAGCATGGCGAGGGAGTTGCTGCAGAGCTTCTCCACGTGGAGGACTTCGCCGTCGACGAAGACCTCCCGATCGTGCTTCTCTTTTTCGGTGTACGAAAATCCCTCCCGGCATGTATCCTGTTAAAAAAAAAATAATAATAAAAAAACAAAAATATATATATATATATATATATATATATATCAGTAATTTAGTAAGGGTATATAGGTCTTTTCAGTGAAAATCAACCAAGAAATCTCTTTTTTTCGAATCTATCAATTTTATACCATTTGTTCACACTATTACGAAATTTCAACTATTTTCTCCACTTTTTCAAAATATTTCCAGATCCTCACCTGATTTGTAAGGGCGGCGGAAAGTAGGGTTTTCAGATCATCCGCGTGGCTGGCGATCGATTTACTGACCGACGGGTACTCTTTCAGCTCGGCGACAGTTGACCGGAGCTCGTCCAGTGTCAGGCCAGTCTCCTGAAGGCAGTCGTTCAGCGCCTGCCTCTCCCTCTCCGTGAACTTCCGGCGGGTGTCGTTGAGCAGTTTCTCGACGTTTAATATGTTTTTCTCCGCGGCGGAGATGGTTTTTTCCAGCGTTACGAGGATGAAATCCTTATGCGAGGTCAAGTTCCGGCGGCCGTCATTAATGGAGTCGGATAAGGTGGAGAAGCAGAGGTCGGGGTAGCGCGTGGTGGTGCAGTGGTATTTTGCTGAGGCGAGCGCGTGAGATGTTTTGATGCTTTCTGGCCGGTCGGGGTTTTTTCGATTTGATCGGACTCCAGCGACGGTCCCGACGACGGCGGCGAGGAGGAGGACGGAGGAGAGGGCGGCGAGGATGAGTTTTTTCTTTCGGGTGGCTGGGTTGTCGCCGGAGTTTAGTTTTCCGGCGAGGATGTCTCTAAAGCGGGACATTTTTTTTTTATTTTTTTTTGTCTATTTGTTTTTATTTTTGGGAAAATTTATGAAAGGTGGATAAAGAGGGTTGTTAGGAGGTGGGGATTTTATAGTGGGTTTCGAGGGACAATTTAGAGGATTTGGTCGAGTAGAATTGCTTTTGCATGAAAATGCACACACTGGAAATTCGTTATTAATTACTTTCATACATACAAGAAAATTGCAATTTAGTTGGAAAAATTTATACTTAATTTATTACTATTATTATTATTATTAGTATTGTTGTTGTTGTTGTTAATCTTTCAAGCATAATAGCAGTTTATGAAATTTTAATTAGGTCACATCATTTTATGGACATATTACTTTGAGCAATAATATAGCAATTAGTGAAATGTTAATATCTTGTTATGTCATTTTATGAACTTATTAATCTGTATCTATTATAAATATATAGAAGCGTAGGATAAATATTTTTAGTAAGATTATTATGTTGCTAGAAAAATTTAATAGTTAGATAATCATACAATTTGAATCGATAGACATACTTTTAAATTGAAATGTTATACCTAAAAAAAATAATATAAAAAAATATTACAATTTATAATAAAAATATACATTCTTCATTTTTGTTAAAAATGTGTGGCAAGTCGATGTATTACATAGCCTCCTCATAATTTTGTGATTTCATTAATAATACCATAATTTTGAGATGTTTATTTCATGATCATTAGTTTTATTATTAAAATTCCAGTTAATTGATGGTAATTTCATAATTATTAAAATTAATTAGATTCAGGGTAGTTTTGTCGAAAATCCAAATTTAAGCAAAAAAATCGTCTGGAATTTAATTCGATTAAAAATTTGTCAAGAAATTTGAATTTGGTTAGGAAATTTAATAAAATACAAACCGGAATTTTCATCTGAAAATTGACATCGGCTAAAAATATGCACACTAACATGCATGTGCGGCGTGCCCCCATCAAATTCCACTCGAATTGTGAATTTTCGGCCAAAAATATTCCAAAGCTAATAAATTTAAACTATATTCGGCTAAAATTATTCTAAAATTAACCAATTTATAAATTATGAGACTTCTACTGAATAATTGATTTTCTAAATATTTTTAACTAATTATGAGCACTTGATAGAAAGTAGAAACTTATATATGCATTTTCAAAGACAAATTGTTTGTGGGGGACAGTTGGAGGGAAGCGTTGATCAAGGAAATCTGATTTTCAAAAAGTACCAACTAATTGCTTGAACAAACACAAGATTTAAAATTTTAAAGCAAAGGCAAAATTCTAATTAGTTTCATGAATAAGTCAGAATCATAGACACTGCCACTTAAGATTGGAAAAGATCAGTATTAATATATAAGGAAGAATCGAGAAGTGATAATTCAACTTTTTTTTATTTTTTTGGTACAAATGATTAACTCAACTTTAAAATAATATGAATGGTCACATTATATATCAATTGATATTTAAAAAGTAATTAATTTATGGAGCACATATTGGATATTTATATTTAGCAGTTCTGGCTTGCATTCTTTTAGATTTCACTAGTGTAACTAATATAAAAAAGTTTTATTGTTAAATAATTTTAAACTAAAATTGGGCATAGATTGATTTTTTCAATACACCATCTATGCATATTTTAGTTCATATATATTATATTTATTGAAAAAATATCACAAGATTCATAAATTGACTCATCTAGCTAACTTTAACATGCTAATCAATAAACATCAGCTTCAATCAATTAATAAAAAAGGGGGAATTGTTAATATAATTTTTTTATCAATTACTGCTATCTTGCTATGGTTACCTATCTTTTTACAATTTCTACGCGTTATTTAATCATTGGCTTCTTTGCATGGATCATATACAATATGAACGTAAGACATATATTCATTCTTGATTGAAAAAACAAAGAAGAAGAAGAAAAATAATCAACAGGTGTAAAGCTAACAGAATTATAAATTATAATACAGCTGGACATTATTGAAAATGATGTAAAATATTTCAATTATTGAATTCATTTGGTCAGACCACAGATAATATATGGTAGCTGTACTAAGCCCAAAAGTACTTATTTCTTTTATTTACATTTTTTTTATTTAGTCACGATTAAGAATTAAATCATGATTTAATTAACAGGCTCATTAAATCAGGAACAATTTGCAAATGTTATCATTTCAGTTCGGGAAAACTATCTGCGTAGATTGTACATTTGTGTAGCATGTATGTATAAAGTTGTGAAACAAAACGAGTTGCTTGTGAGTTCGCCTTATCTCATCTCATTAAGACTCGAGCTAGACTGATAAACATGTTGAGTTCGAATTCGTTTAGTTAACAAGCAAAATGTGATGCTTGGATACAAATATGTTAAAAAAACCAATCATTTTTAACCAATCTTTTTTTAACTCAAATCTAACTCAACATTAACTCAACTCGACTATTATCAATACTAGTAAAGTGCACGTGGCGACGAATGTTTTTTACCGATTAAATTTAGTAAGATAAATTAATTAATGTATTACACATTTGACTGCAGGAACAAAATAAAATGTAGAATAAATAAACTTTTCATGCATTTTATCTTAAATAAAAAAATGTTGTCATAATATAAAAAGATTTAAATATCATATTACAACTCCAACAAAAATATATGAAAAATGAGTTCCTAATGAAAAAACAATAAATGACTAAATAAGGAAATAATGTATATTATAGATGCATGAGTTCTTTTATTTATTTATGTTAGATTCAAGAGTCATTTTCTTTTATTTTGATTTTGATGTTCTCATAAGAAACATTTATACTCTGAATTCTGATACATCAATAGTATTGCAAAATTCTTCTTAATTAATTTTGCAAAACATCTGTTTTATTCAACACTTAGAAATACTTTGGCCAAATATATAGTCAAACTTTATGATTGTATGATCATTATAAGGTATTTCTACTAATAGTTCATAAGTATCTCTGTGAAATAAACAATTGTAGCATTAAATTTCTTGATATTTGTGTCATTAAAATTCTTGATATTTCTTTTAAATCACTGTATAAACTACTACATTTCTCTCTCTCTCTCTCTCTCTCTCTCTCTCCCCACATAGACAAATTGGTACTTACCCCATGGGGTGGGAACGAATTTCATCTCTAAACTCAAACGGGTATGTATGTTTTTCAAAAATATTTTAATCAGTATTAAACATTCTCTTTTCCGTGTTATTAATTTGGAAGATAGATACCTTCCATATTCTTTCGGATTTGCAATATTTATGTGTCTAATAATATTTATTGCATTTATTGTCCAATCTTTGTATCATAACTAATTCTTACAAAATTCAAGATAAAGATCCTTTATTGATTCTTCAGTAATAACAAAACAAAACAAAATAATGAGACAATATTTAGAAGTAAAATATTTCAGATGAGAATAATTTGAATTATACTATATTATGATACTCTTAGTCATCTGTAAACTTTATTATTATGAAGTCATTATTAAAGTTTGTGATCTATTTTATGATAATATCGAATCATTATTTATGAGAATTAATTTCTTATAGAGAACATATACTTAAATGCTAGCAACCAAAAAAGTAGTAATTTTTTTAAAAATTTGTTTCTTGATATTAGTATTCATACTTTTCTAAAAAAATTCAGAATTTTTCTTTTCCTCATTGCATTACTATTGGTTTACTTGTTTTTTTTTTTTTATTCACAAATAATATTTTATTTCTTGAAAGATTTAGAGAATATATATATGCAATGCATTCTTTTTATGTGTTTGATAGTAATAATATACTTGATAAAAATGTAGTTTTATATTGTTTATAATATTAAAAAGTTTTGAATTTATTTCCATGTTCTGATAAAATATTAAGTAACTAATTCATGTTTATATTCACAAAAAATACATTTTACAACCATTATGGTGTTCCCTTTCAAGCAATAATTGAATAATAGTTTAACATATAACCGATTTATTTTTTCTTTTAATTCACATATTTAATATTGGTAATAGTTGTACAATTACATCTAGTTGACTTTTTCTTTAGTATGAATATTTCAAATCTATGTCAGAAAAATATACCACAAGTTTATCTAATATTATTTTATAATTAATAAAATTAATTTAACATGGATCTATAATTATTTTATAAGATTCTTTTAAGGTCTATTTATTATTTTAATTGGTATTGGTATATATATATATATATATTATAATTATATTATTTTTATTTTATTTACAAAACATTGGTAAAATCAAATATCATGGGAAAGAAATGATATGATATATTACATATAAAAGGGTAACCAAAAAAAAATTAAGTATTTCAAAATTAAGAAATTTAATGGTGTAAATTAATTGATATTTTAACTAAAAAATTATGAGTAACATTCCGATTTCTAAGATAAAAAAATAAATATATTTTTTATATATGTGCATCTCAAGTATATTTTACATTTATCATTCGCTAGCTCCAATTGATATATGACATTTATTAATTTTATCAATTTTTTTTTTATTTTGGGTGGAATATCAGTTATAAGCTTTCTCGTTGTGTAGTTTTACCTTTTTATTACGTAGAACATCATTTTTACATCTTGTTTAGTATTATATTACCTTTTCAGTAGAACATCATTCTGGCCTCTTCTTTAATTATTATAATACTAATAAAATATTTAAGGACTTTTCAATTTATATGTATTTTTTTTAATTACTAATTATCATAAATTAAATGATAATTACATTAAATATGTTATATTTTGTAACATTATTTATAAATTTTCAAAACAATTAACTGCACACAATATTATATATAGTGCAAATTTTGTAGTTTGATTTGGAGTCATACTTTTACTACAAGAAAATGATGAAATTCCAATGGAAACGAAATTTCGACAACAATTCTAACGAATATTTCAACGTTACAATTTTCGTTTGAATTTTTCAATGAAAATTATAACATAAATATTTTGTTGCAATCATGTGCATACCCATGTTTGTCCAATAGTCCCGAAACTGGCATCATCCCAAAACAAATAGCATAAGATATCTAACAAATATTATGGGGATATTTTTCATAATTTTAATCATGTCCTCTATCTAGAAAATAGAATTAAAAGAATAAAGACAAATAATGATTAATTTACAACTCAACCAATTATAATTTAA